GGCACGTAGTAGGCCTCGCGCTCCCAGCAGGGGGGACGCTTCCCTGTTACTGGTTAGGCAGCCAGTCTTATCCCCTTTGCTGTCTCTACAGGCTACGGAACGAGAGGATGAATGGAATGCAAAATATATGAAACTATCCCAGGACAACCATGAAATGGGGTAAGTAAAATCCAGATGTGTCATGTGTAAGTGCTGTGAAGATGCTGATCTAGATGTAGAAGTTAATGCCTTCCTCCTTTTCAGGATAATCATGTCTGACTTTGAGGCGACAATATCTCAGATCATAGGTATGTTTATGCTTGATTATAAGTTTATCCTTTTGTACAGATGGTAATACTGATTTTTTAAATTGAGATTTAAGTGCCTAGTGTAAGTGGCTCCTCACGAACTGAACCAGCAGCATCTGAACATGGCCGTTTTGATATGTGGCTGTATTTTCCTTCAGCTGACAACAAAAAAGAGAAGCAAGACCTTCAGGAGGAACTGAAGAAGGTCCAACATGATAAGGAGCAGGTGGCTCTGGATCTAAGTGCCATGGAGCGGTCTTTCTCGGAGCTCTTCAAAAGGCTGGAGAAGCATAAGGAAGTTATCGAGGGTTACAAGAAGGTCAGTGGAGGGTTTGGGAGGGTTAGCTGGCGCTCTGAGCAGCATCTTAAGACGAGGCAGTGTGTTAATGGTGCTCTTTGTGCCCCCAGAACGAAGAGACGTTAAAGAAGTGTGCTCAGGATTACCTGACCAGAATTAAGAAAGAGGAGCAGCGCTACCAGGCACTGAAAGCCCATGCGGAGGAGAAGATTGGCCAGTAAGAATCAGTGCTGCACACTCAGATCTCTGCCCGTGAGCAAGGTTGTGGGTTTGAATCCCATTGCTGGCCGAATAATCTCACTGTTGGGCCTTGGAGCAAGGCCCTAACCTCCAGCTGCTCCAGGAACTTAAAGCTCCTGCTAAATAAGTAAATGTAATGTCGTCGTACGTTAGAGGAGGCTCATTAGCTGATTGGCTGCCTTCCTGTGCCAGGGCAAATATGGAGATTGCACAGCTGCGGACCAAGCAGAAGGCAGAGATGTCTGCCCTGCAGGCACAACTGCGCAGGGAGCAGCTGAAGGTCCAATCACTGGAAAAGAGCCTGGAGCAGAAGGTACGCTGGCTGTCTGCCTTACCCTTCAGGCTGTTTAAATACCTGCCCAAGCTGGCGGGTGCTGGAATGCAGTGGGCCAGTTCAGTACCGCAGTGCACCGATCAGAGTACTCATGATGGGAGGTGGGGATTAAATCTGAGGAAAAGGTCTGATGCTTATTTCTTGGTATCATGGTCATGCTCTCATCTCTTCCTCCCCCTCTCCCTCCCTTCTAGGTTAAAGAAACAGAGGAGCTCACCAAGCTTTGTGATGACCTGATTGTCAATGTTCAAAAGCGCTAAACTTACTGTCTGTCCTTGTTTGTTCTATTTCTATGTCATTTTTAATGTTAATAAAGATTATTAATTATCCTCCTGGTTCATCCTTCACATCACAAGCTTTGTTGATAAACTGTACTTAGAACTGAAATTTTGGCTTAGAGGCGCTCATTGGGAATGTTCCTTCACTTCAGTCTGATTTTGTCTTTCTACTGTACTTAATCATCCTTCCGTCCTTCTGCTTTAGAACAGTGTTTCTTGACCTGGTCCGGATTGAGAGACACTGCTTTAGATGACACCAACGGTAACCACTGCAGGCCAGTGCATAGACTGTAAGCAAAGCCCACGGCCAGTCATTTCACAGCGATTTTTAGGTTTGACATACTGACTGAAATTTAAAGGCTGTCCTCAGAATGAAATGACAGCAAATGTCTCTGAAAAAGCACTACTTATTTGTATCAATGTTTCTCAAAGTGATTGTGTCCAACTGTCTAAAGTGAAATGTATCTAAATTTGTTCAGTAACGCAACTGCTGTCAGAACAGTGATTCCTCTACCTATTGTCATGTCTTGTACTTTAACCACAATTTTTTTTGCCACTACTGAGAAATGTTGAAAGAGTAAAGGATTTATTGTATTTACAGGGCAACAAAAAAAGCATTTTTGATTTCCAAATTTTCCATATACTTAGGTGGAAATTTACAATATAGTTACAAGATTGTTCTGAATAAATAGTTTGTCCAGTTATTTAAATATAATTCCATTTATACCAAATTCTAATAATTGTACATCTTTCTGTTTATAAAAGATTCTTCAATATAAATCAAGACGGGTCATCCTTTCAAGGTGAAGCCTGAGTTTAGGTCCAAAATCAGAACATGATCACATGACTGATCCCACAATGCTGGGTCTGACAGCCAAATTAGTGGGTTCTGGGCCACCGGTCATTTCTTGAGATCTGTCCTTCAGGGGAAATACATTCTCAGAGGCTGGGAAGCAAAAAGTGACCCCCCCACCCGTTTAAAGACATATTTAAAAGACACTATATTGTGGGTAGTAGCAGCAACATGCTTAGAATTAGGGTAAAGCTGAATGGGGACGGTCTAGTTAGTTGTGAGTACTTTGATATGTAGATGTTATACTAAGAGGCTTCTGATTGGTTTGAGTAGTGGCTACGTATTACCAATGATGGCCAATGGCAGAGAGGTCCAGGGTAACCAACCAGACTGGGCACCTCGGCAGAATACATGAATGTTTACTTGCAGGGGAGTATAGAATTTACTGTATCCTGAAGTCAGAGCATAAATGGTGTTATAACGAGAGTGATTCCAGGAGTCTGTGGGCTGATTACAGCTCAAAACATGATTCACAACATTGTCAGAGAATGATGAGTTTGTTCAACTGAAGTAGTGTCCTTCACTGAATTTTACACAAGAGTCACGCTTTCCAGTGTGGAGGGGGGTTGGGGGGGGGGCACTATTTGCTTTTTAAACGCCGGGTTGCCGGGAGTAATATTGATGCTGCATCGCTTGCCTGTTAACTACGTAGCTGCACATTATTGGGGAAGTTGTATTGCATCTAGATTTAAAAAAATCTTTGCATTTTAAAAATAATAATTTTAAGATAAATAAATCTGATGGTCAGGATAATTTGCTTATTTTTTAATTCAGTCAAGGGCTGCACACTGGCCTCTGGGGGCTGCCAGTGGCCTGCAGGCTACGCAGTGAAGACCACTACACTGAAGGGAACGCTATTGGAAAAAGTTCATTTTAAAGTGCAGTGTTAAAAACACACTATTGACAATGTTGGCCATAAGCACAAAACAGGGGCATTGGCCCCCGCTGATTGCCCCCCAGAGTGCCCCTGCCCCTGTCACTCACCAATTCTAAATGTATCATTGGATAATCATTTGTTGAGGTTGGCCCCTCTTATCTCCCCCCCCCTTAAAAAAATCCTAAATCACCCCTGGTACAAAAAACATTCACGTAGATGAAATTGTATCTAAATTGCCCATTGTGAATGTGCCCAGCCCTGCACTGCCCCCCCCCCCTTGCCTTGGACCCCCTGGATTAGACATCTGGTTGCAAGAAGCCACATAAAACAAATTTAACCTCAATATCACATAAAAGGCCCCAGAACACCATTTCCTTAAATGAGGGAGCCCTACTCAAAGACAAGCAAACGTGGAAGACTGGGTATAGGTGTGCGGTGTGGTTAAGGTCCTTCAAATAAAGGGGGCCATGCATGTGGCTTACTGAAGTGGTGTACAGTGTGAGCATAGCTTGTGGGAAATGGATTGAGATTCTTGGGGAAGTGTACACTTGGAGTTTAGCCAGGATATAAAAAAGTGTGCACTACAAGTAGGACTGCGTGGGGAAGTGTACACTGCGTTGGAGTCTAGATAGGGTATAAGGAAGTGCGCAGTACAAGTAGGACTGCGTGGGGAAGTGTACACTGCGTTGGAG